TGGTAGGGGAGTTCTGAGTTACGAAGTTGAGAGCTGCAAGCCCAAGCTTCTGATGTCGACCCCCAAATGCATGGTGGCCAATATTCTCGATGGAATCCACACAGTACATGAACTACAAGAATCAGACTACCATTTTCACTAATTCGTGATTACTTCATTGGCCCGAACCCGATTCAGCCGCTCTTGCGACTTTGGCCAGAGCCACTGGACACCTTGAGTGTTCCTTTCGACGCTTTGGGAGGAAACGCACGTCTCACGTCGTGATGTTCTTGTTCTTTGTTTTCTTGCCACCTGTGTTTGTGTGTTGTGTGTGTGTTTTCGTCCTATTTATTATTGCGACAGTCCCGCCATTTTTCGTGGGGGGGATATCACGTGACCGCCGCAGCACAGTTTCCCGGGGACCGCGGACTACTGCTTTCCGCAAGGCGGGAGGTGCCGCGGTCTGGAGCACGGGTTCTGAAGGCATGTCGTACCACCCAGGCACTATCGAAGACCGAGGGGATTATCCGGCACGGCCCCCGTACGCATTAGCAGCGCTTGTCGTGCCAACGGAGATCCAAAAGAGATCTCTCGCGGGGGCAGCTGCTAGACCGTGAGGTCGGTTTGAAACGCCGGTCGAATCTCCCACGCGCGTCATGCCCCACGAACTATTCCATCACTCGCGCTTCCAATTCGGCTGCTTCGCAACCATCCCTAGCACGCTTCTTCGGTTGTCTGCTGTATCTATGTCGATGCGAATATTCAATGAGCGCGCACATTGTGTGTGACCAGCGTACTGACACAACCCATGCGCTTGCCCGCTGCTTACCGTTTGTTTTGCTCGAGTACCCTCCCACGCACTGCGCGTGTGTGTCCAATCATGTGGCACGCGTAGTCCGTTTTCAATCCTGCAGAAATAGCATGCTATCGTCCAGTTGTTTTCCAGTAGTTGTGAGTATACTTCGGGTACTCCACGCCATTGCATGGGCGGGAGTTTCTCCCACGTTCGAAGTACGTCGCGGATTACCATGTATTGCTGCAAACACCCTCTGGATGTCTTCAGCAAGGGGGGATCTCCCGCGGCGTAATATCACTTCTCCGACACCGTGAATTATTTCCTTCCGGGGGGGGGAGGTTATGATGAGTCTCGTTGGACAAGGAACAGCAGCTTAGCCTTGGTGCGAGAAGATCAGCAACAACAGCCACCGCCACACGAAGCGAAGTACCCAAGAAAATGTCGCGTGTTAATATAACCAGTTCGCTGTAGATATCAAGTATTTGCTTCTTGCTCCATCAAGACCGCTTATTCCTCGTGCCGAGAGCCGTAGAACCGTCACGACGATAAACGTTTGTTGCGTGGTTTCGCTTCAACCATATCAATAGAATGGACCGAACAGGCAATCTTCGCCTCTCCACCATGTCACCCTGGGCAGCTCAATGCTTTTGTGTCAAGAAGAAAGATGGAACCATACGAATGTGTATTGACTAGGTGATATGCAAACCATATTCGATGGACTGAAAAGGCAAGCGGTACTTCACTCAGATCGATCTAGCGTCGGGCTTTCATCAAATTGAAATTGCCGAAAAGGATCGGTATAAAACAGCCTTCCGTGACGCAGACGGCATGTTGTACGAGTTTACCCGTGCGGGTTTCGGACTAACAGTTCTACCTTCCGCGTTCACGCGTCGAGTGAAGTCTGTTTTAGGAATTATCGATGGCGTGTTTAGCTGGTTGGACGAC